AAGATTATTATATTTGTTTCATACAAATAGAATCCTTACTGACTTAGTATACAAAGATAGAAAAAGCAACATCTTGAGGATCAGTTTTACAATTTCACTATATATAAATAAAACATCACAATAAAAAAGTTAAAAAGAACAATAGTTTATTATAAAATAGGTTTAATAGAATACATATAAGATTTACTATACAAATTTTATATCATAACATAAACATTGATAATTTATAAGAAATAAAAGCATAAAAGCGACGTCTTAAAATATATTATATATTTTTTTACGTACTGATCCTCCTTTACACTTATACAAAATTACATTATGACAGTATAATATTCGTATTGTTCTCTTTAATACGTTCGCTATCATCGTAAGGTCAGAGAACTAGTTGCTGTATCACATGCTTGTGACGTCTGACAACGAACGCGTTAACATCTATGCTAACGAAAAATAACAATAGTTTGTAGAGCAGGAAGGATTTGAGATCATTTCATTGCTTTGTTTCAAAGAGAATATAATTAAATTGTACTTATCGCTTTTACAAGCATTTCATTAGTTATTGATCATTGCAGTCTGTTCATCCTAAAGACGCAGAAGAGATATGTTTCAAACCTGGTTCTTTAGTTTTAAACGCGCACATCCCTGAGACACATAATATATAAAAATGCAGGAGTATATAAAAATTAAAAATATGTCAGTTATGTATTTTTATTCTTAATATTTATCAATTTATTAGACAAAACGTTATTAAACTAAAACTTTGAAAAATTGAATGCAATAAATAATTTTATTTTAATAATATATTTGCAAATCATAAAAAATCTACACAGCAAACACTATTGTACCTACATTATACTTAACCATAATCTACAAATGTATTTTAACATTTTATGAAACAAGATATTACTCTCCTTCTTTTCTTAGTATATACATCTAAATTTCTTTCTGATTTCTCGCAATNNNNCTGATTTCTCGCAAATGTCAAAAATAGAAATGTATTAACATTGTTAAATGTTAATTTATTAGTTATCTCTTCTTTATCAGTAGATTGAACTCTGCCAGGTATTTTGAAGCCTGTATGTGCTGTAGCACATTTTACATTATTATTATTATTTGCAGGATTATATTAATAATCAAAGCAAAGAAATACTTAAGCTCCTTCCACAAATAAAGTCGAACATGGAAGTACTGATTATTTCTTGTAAGTAATATACCGAGATACCTTTACACAAAACAACTTTATAATAATATATTTTTATTTATTTATTGCAAACATTAATGTATCTTTTCACGAATAACTAAATAGAATTATATAATAAATCGTTACTCATCTTTCCGTGTTATTTTTTGTATGTATAAAAAATGTTTAAGAAAATCTTGATCAATGCATCTGATGCTTAATAGATTATTACTGTCGTTTTTTTAGTACTTTCTTTTCCTGTGTAAATTTCCTGACTGGCAATTAGTGACCTTGAAGATATAAATCTTATCACTCGAGAACTAAGGAAGCACTAGCATAACTAACAGAACTGTCATTCATGTTATTGCATTGATTGCTTTGAGCATATTTCAAAAACTTCAAGTTCATTCTTTGTCCATTAGTATTCCCTTTCAAATTGTGAATAGCCTGTTAACATAGTATATCATAATTTTATTATGAATTTTTATTAGGTTAAATGAAGTGTGTAAAATACATAAAAAATATAATTAACTCAAATTACAGACTTGAACAAATAAAAATGATTACCTGCAATAGGACACTGATAGGATGACGACCACATATAG